TCTCCAGCCTCCTAAGTCCTGCACAACCCTACTTCGAGCCTGCCTCATGAGGTTTCGGTTGAAGTTGCCTGCCGGTTTAGGGTTTAATTAGGGCGATTTAGGGTTTAGAGTTTCGGTTTCCAGCAGTATGTCTGATGAATAGGCCCGGCCCCTCCAGAACAAGGGGGCCTAATTGAAGACAACCCCTGATTGGAGAGCCCGCTATCCAAAACCCCAGACTCCAAGGACCCAGGCCCTGGTTAGTACTTTTTCTATTCTTCTTGCTCCTCTTACTATTACTCTTCTTACAATTACTATTTGGCTTCTTCTTGCTCTTCTTCTTCTTACTTCTTACCCTAAACCCTTCTTCTTCTTATCAAGTACCCTAAACCCTAAACACTAAACCCTAAACCCTAACCCTAAACCCTAAACCCTTAACCCTAAACCCTAAACCCTAAATCCTAATCTCTGGGCAAGCCGCTGCGACACCGAAGGACGCGGAGCAGCCAGCCTGGCAAGCCCACTGCATGATCTCACAGTGCACCATGCTGTTAGGCTTTAGGGTTTAGGGTTTAGGGTTTAAGGTTTAGGGTTTAGGGTTTTGGGCTAGTTCACCTCAACCCCAAAACCCCAAAATCCTAAAGCCTGCAATTCGGGGGTGACCAAACCCTAAACCCTAAACCCGAAACCCTCAAAACCCACTAGTCCCAACACCCTACCCTACATGCGAAACCCTCAACCCTAAAACCTAAACCCTAAACCCGAAACCCTCAAGGCCCTGAAGGCCTGGGCTTCCCCGAAGCCCCCCGGACGGACCCCATTCGCATCAAAACTTTGGGATGCTCCCCCTTCAGAGCCACGGTTTAGGGTTTAGGGTTTAGGGTTTAGGGTTTAGGGTTTAGGGTTTAGGGGGGGAGGGAAGTGGGGGTACTCTAATCCCTATTAAGGACTATTAGTATAAGCAGGGGCCTAGCCAAGGGCTGGGAGGTCCCTGAGAAGGACCTGGCAAGCCTGAGTAGCTGAAGCTTCCGGTATGGGAACTTAGGCCAAACTCCCCTTAGAACCCTCAGCAAGATAAAAGGTTCATATTCCCTGGGGCTTGATATACATAAAAACGGAAGAAATTTCCAAAGGGGGCTATCATACACTATACTAGAACTAGTATACCGTAGTCTAGGTGGAATACTAGGATGGCCCTTAAGACCCTCTAAAAAATATTCCTGAATATGATCCTCTTAAACCCAAAAAGGGAAAATGTAAAATGTCCCAAGGGCCTACGGAGAATATAACATACTATCGATATAATATAGTGTTAGGGCTCACTTCCACAGCCGCAGGGCTTCGTGGGCCTCGGCCGACACCTCCGCTGCGGCGGAGGAGGCGGCGGTGGCCGTGACATCGACGACCTGCGCATGCTGCGGTAGGGTTTAGGGTTTAGGGTTTAGGGTTTAGGGTTTAGGGTTTAGGGTTTAGGGTTTATTAGGGTTTATAAGGGTTAAGGGTTAAGGGTTAAGGGTTTAGGGTTTAGGGATCCTAGGGTAGCTTCTAGGCAGGAGTAACCCTAGGAATGACAGGTAGTGCTCTTTTTGGGTGAAAAGGCGGTTGAAACAGGCTAAAAAAAGGGGATAAGGGTCTACTCTGGGTCCTAGTTTTTGCTGCTAAAGGAGCCCTGGAAGCACTACTCCGTAACCTACGCCCTAGAATCCTGCCGCAACCCTGATCATTGAACCCGATGGATCCCGACCAACACACGACGCCCTCAACCTAAACCCTAAACCCTAAACCCTAAACCCTAAACCCTAAACCCTAAACCCTAAACTCCGGCAGAAAGCCCCCCCTGGAGCGCCTCCACCTCAGCGACCTCGTCAGCGCTAGGCACCTCCTCGTTGTTGGCCTGAGCCGGAGTCAGTTCCCCCCGACGGTTTGGGGTTTAGGGTTTAGGGTTTAGGGTTTAGGGTTTAGGGTTTAGGGTTTAGGGTTTAGGGTTTAGGGTTGGGGCTTGTAGAATAAAGCCTTCGGGTCTAGGGTTTAGAGGTCCAGGGACTTGTAGGCCTTAGGCTTTATATCGGGTTCAGGGGGTTGGGCCAGAACCTGCTACCTGAATTCGCAACCCTAAGCCCTAAACCCTCAACCCTAAACCCTAAACCCAAGCCCTAAACCCTAAACCCTAGACCCTAAACCCTAAGCCCTAAGCCCTAAGCCCTAAGCCCTAAACCCTAAACCCTAAACCCTAAACCCTAAACCCTAAACCCTAAACCCTAAACCCTAACCCTAAACCCTAAACCCTAAACCCAAGCCCTAAACGCGAACTTTTGAAGGCTCCCCCCACCTCGTCCGGAATCTCCGGGACCTCGAGGTCGCTCACGGTCACCTGCAGAGGCCGGGGGGGTGGGGGGGTTGGGGTTTAGGGTTTAGGGTTTAGGGTTTAGGGTTTAGGGCTTAGGGCTTAGGGATTTAGGGATGTAGGGATTTAATTTAGAGATTTAGGGTTTAGGGATTTAGGGATTTTCGGGATTTAGGGATTTAGGGATTTAAGGATTTAGGGATTTAGGGATTTAGGGTTTAGGGTTCAGGGTTTAGGGTTCAGGGCCACGATGGTTTAGGCCTAAAGAGTTTAGGGTTTGCGGGGTTGCATCGGGCTTATCGGGCTTACAGGGGGTGTGGGGCTTGGGGTTCGGGACTCAGCCCTAAACCCTAAACCCTAAACCCTAAACCTAGAATTGCGCTCACGAGTAGCCGCAACAGCGAGAATAGAAGATTCTGAACCTTCGTACCGCCAACCTCACGACTCGGAGTCACACGGCTCTCAACTTGAAGGCTAGCCGTGTGACAGAAAAAAACGAGTCTTCATGCACCCTGAGCCCTAAGCCCTGAGCCCTAAACCCTCAACCCGAAGCCCTAAACCCTAAACCCCAAACCCTAAACCCTAAACCCTAAACCCTACACGCCAAACCCCAAACCCTAAACCCTAAACCCCAAACCCCTAAACCCCTAAAAGGCTGAGAGCTGGGAGCCCCGGGCCTCGCCGCCGGCCGCCGTCGCGAGCTCCGAGCCGGTGGCCAGCGACTGAAGGTTCGAGGAGACCTGTCTTTCCCTAAACCCTAAACCCTAAACCCTAAACCCTAAACCCAAAACCCTAAACCCAAGTAGCCCTGTAACCACATTATAATCAGGGCACCCTTTTTTTGGCTGGTTACTTTATAAGGGAACCCAGAACCAGAAAAAGGGTAAAGGGTACCACTGGGCTACCAAGAAACCCTAAACCCTAAACCCTAAACTCTAAACCCTACCCCTAAACCCTAAACCCTAAACCCTAAACTTTGAACTTCAAACCCCAAACCTACAAGAGCCTAAAAGCCCTATGACGCCCTACAAGCCCTAGCGACCCTCTGAGTCCTATAGGCCCTATAGAAGCCTAAAAGCCGAACAAAACCCTACAAAACCCTACAGGCCCTGCAGTTCCTGCGAGCCTTTTCTTGCATGGCTACTTGGGAACGTGGGGGAGGGGCGACTTTTTTTGGCTTTTGCGTGAGGAGCTCTTGAGGCTCTTATTTGGAAAAAGCTCGCGAACTTGAAGTTCCCCTTCGGGTTCTGAGACTTCGGGATTTGTAGGGAATAGAGGGTCTATGGGGTTTATAGGGCTCGTAGGTTGCTAGGGTTTGTAGGGATTACAGGGTCTATCGGGTTTATGGGGTTTGTAGGCTTATAGGGTTGCTCATGTTCAGGGACCAAGGCTGCTTCTGGGTTCATGGACCCTAAACCTTAAACCCTAAACCCCAAACCCTAAACCTTGTGTCGCAGGTAGGGGCCGACTTCAGCCCGCAGCCCTTGATTTAAAAGGTCTAAGAAGAATTCAACATACCAAACCCACACCCCTTGCCCTGTAAAGAGGAGAACCTAAGAAAGGAATATACAATGCCCCCTTAATTTCTTATAAGGGTATGCCAAATCAAGAACTATATAAGAAGACATCTGAATCTCCACTCCTGTGCCCTGGCGCTCAAAGGCCTCAAGGCGCAAGGCAACAAATTCCCAAACCCTAAACCCTAAACCCTAAACCCTAAACCCTCAACCTCTGAACCCCTAAATCCGCAAACCCCAAACGCAGTGAATCCCTAAACCCCAAACCAGCAATCCTCACACCCCTAACCTCCCCGCCGCCGCCCCCGAAACCATAAATCCCTAAACCCTAAACCCTCTGCCCACCTCGCCAAGCTCTCCTGCCTGGGCATTCAGAGCCTCAGCACCTTCCGCCCAGCGTGTTTAGGTCTGGAGGGTTTGGGGTAGTTCGTGGGGCAACTTGTGACGGGGAAAGGGTCTAGGGTTCAGGGTTCAGGGTTTAGGGCCCAGGGGGATTTGAGGGAAACGTGTGGCTGAAGAATGGGGCCCAGCTTTGTGAGGCATGTAGCCCCTATAAACCCTTACATTAAACCCTAAACCCTAACCCCTACACCCTCCCTGCGTTTTGGTGTCACTGCCTTTTTGACTCAAGTCCCCCAAGCAGAGGGCAACGCAGCGCCACAGAATGCTAAAAACTGTCGGCGGGTTTAGGGTTGGGGGGGGCGGGGGGGCAGAAGCATCCCAAATAAGGCACTAAGCAGTCGCAAGCAGAGCTACGCTAACTTCTGACCCCAGTTCTACCCCTGAAGTCCCCACTCGAAATGCCAAGACTGCCAGGTCAAAAGCAAAGCCGTTTCTTCTTGCCGCGTCGGATTCTCTGGATTGAGTGTGAAGGCTTCTGAGTTAGGGTCCTGTTAAAGGGCCGTCTTAAAAAAACCTAAACTTGGGATGTTCCCCCCCCTTATTAAAACAGGGCGGGCCCCAATGGCCTTGGCTTTCGGCATCTCCTCCACTGGCCGCCGCGGCCTGAGTGCAAAGCCCTGAAGTCTGTGAACTCCTGAACTCCCTAACCTCCCTAACCCTAAACCCTAAACCCCCAACCAGTAGCCCTAAACCCTAAACCTCTAAACCCTAAACCCCTAATGGCCCTAAACCCCTAAGCCCTAAACCCCTAAAGGCCCTTAACGCCGACATGTAAGCCCCTCTACACTAAGTGCCGAGTCCCACACTGCATCCTTGGACGGCTCGATGGAGATGTCGAGGTCCGTGATGTCGACGGTGGCAAGCCGCCGGCCTGCGGCCAACGTAGGGTTTAGGGTTTAGGGTTTAGGGTTTAGGGTTTAGGGTTTAGGGTTTAGGGTTTAGGGTAGTTTAGGGAGGAGCCTCTGTAATAAGAACGGGAATTGTGGCGTCAGGTTTGTTGGTTGAGGGCACTGTGGGCAGCCCTGCTTTATAAGTAAATTTACAGAGTACAAGGACAACATGTTGGCACAAAACTTAGGCTCCTGCATTAGCAGGGGTGCTTGAGGGTTCTCAAGGCTTGGAGGGCTCTTGAGTTTGTCCTTGGGTGTCGGGGGGGGGGGGGGGAGGGGGGCAGGTGGTTGAACCCCTAAAAGCGTTCAAATGTCTTTCCGGATTTGTGATTTACAATTTGGGGTGTTGGAACGAGATTGCAGTTAGAGTTACGGAGTACAGGATCTGGGCTCTCGAGGCGGGCCTGGCGTCTGGCAGATCCCCTCCGCCGTGCAGACCGACCTAAGTAGTGCAAGAAACGGGATTTAGGGTTCCTTCGGTTCAGAAATCAGGCCTGGGATACTAGCAGTTCTTAATAGGTGCTAGAATCCCGTAAAAGGGAGAACATCCCAAATGAGGTCCAAACCCCAAGATATGAGACAACAACGAGGGCTCCCCAAAGTACGCTAGGTACACCTAGGCCTATTATATACCACTAGGGACCCCCAAAAATGCGAGATAATACTCCCTATATTACCCTTACAGGGCAGAATATCTTGATCCCTTGGGAGGTTCTTAAGCAAATACTAACATGTCAGGGGGTATTGGGGAGGGCGCAAAAGGTTTAGGGTTTAGGGTTTAGGGTTTCAGGGTTTAGGGCTTAGGGTTTAAGGGTTATTGCTGCTAAAAAAGGTAAACAAAGTCCCAGGTAGAGGTTGGGCTTAGCTGGTTTCGGGGTGGGGCTCAGGGTCTAATCCTCAACCCTTATGATTTGCTTAAGAACCCCAACAGAAGAAAATTTAACATTCCATATGAATTTTAACCTTTATGAGGAATACTATCCTTTATTTTTCCAGGGCTCTTAAGCAATTGGCAGTGAACCCCACGGCTCTGAGGCCCTAGGCTTTGTGACCCTGAACTGGGTCTTAGGGCTTGGGGCTTGAGGCTTCGATTTTCGCGGCTTGGGTTTCGGGGCTTTTGGGGTTCTCAGAAGCCCAGTTTGCATATTTTCATAAGGGCAATCTTTCTGCTTGGTTCGCTTTTTAAGGGAACCCAGAACCCAAAAAAAGGGTTAAAAGGGTACCACTGGGCTACAAAGGGTTTTGGGCGTTTAGGGTTTTGGGCTTTGGGGTTTCAGGGTTAGGGGTTCCCGGTGGGGGTTTAGGGTTTAGGGTTTAGGGTTTAGGGTTTAGGGTTTAGGGTTTAGGGTTTAGGGTTTAGGGTTTAGGGTTTAGGGTTTAGGGTTTAGGGAAAATCAGGGTTTCGGGTTTCGGGTTGATTGGTTCCTGCAAACACACAGACTTGAGAGCCCTCTCTGCTCGTTCTGCTGGGCACTCCGACGCATCCGAGTCCTCCTCAGTGACTTCCACCAGCCTGGATGCAGCCAAGCACGCTTCCCGCGTTGGAGGGTTGGAGGCTTTGGGGGTAGGGGATTAGGGCTTTATGGGGTGTGTAGGGGATTTGGGGTTTCTAATAGGGCTATAGGGTTTATCGGACTTATAGGCTTTAGGACATACAGGTAACGGGGTGTGAGGCTTCCCTGGCCTTCCCAAAAAGCCTTGAAGCCCAAACACCGTAAACAATCAAGAAGCACGACCCCCCAAGACTAAACCCTAAACCCTAAACCCTAAACCCTAAACCCTAAACCCTAAACCCTAAACCCTAAACCCAAGTGTTGGAGTGGGGCGCCCTTCACTGCTGCATGGATGCATTGCCAACCCTAAACTCCCTACCATTTGCTTAAGACCCCCCCCCCCCCAAAATCACAATCCCTAGGGTTTAGGGTTTAGGGCTTAGGGCTTATATTAGGGCTTAGGGTTTAGCTCAGGTCGTTGCTTTAGCCGTCGTCGGGCGGCCACCGATGCAACCTGGCGAGATGGGTGGGTCGGTTAGAATTACGCGCTTCTCTTTTGCTTGGGAGGGGAGGGTCTCTAAGCCTAGCTTCCCCTAAACCCTAAACCTTGCGCAAACATTGCACTAAACCACCCCAGATCATTTAGAAACAGGACCCCATTTTAAGCACCCTCTGGTCCCCGCAGGGTGGGCTCCACGGGGACTTCGACAGGAGAAGCATCTGGTTTGGGGCCTGGGACTTGTAAGATTTGTCGGGCTTGGTAGTATGTCTTACAGAATATCCAGGGGATTTAGATTTAGAAGGCTATTCCAGGGTCTATAGATGTTGATGTAGAAGGGTTTCTGAGGCAAGAATGCCATGACTCACGGCAATGCTAGATGCTACGTCAGGAAGCCGGTTTAGGGTTTGTGTAACCCTAAACTTCTAAACCCGAAACCCGAAACCCTAAACCCTAAACCCTAAACCCGACCGTGCCGCTTGTAGGCTCCGGGCCGCGATACGCTCCGGAGGAATTCCGAGCAGGATCGCCAAGTTCGTTTGGAACTGGGGCCCATTGAACTCGGTGATACTGATCCTCGGCCGCACGGGGTTTAGGGTTTAGGGTTTAGGGTTTAGGGTTTAGGGCATAGGGGGGGGGGTGTCCGGGGTGTGGAGGTGGTGGTGGGGGGGCGCCTACACTTCAGCTCAGGCGCTTTTTCTTCAGGCGCAGCCCAAACACAAACAAGTTCAAGTCGAAGCCCAAACCCTAGACCCTAAACCCCCCGCCCCAAAAGAAAAAATGAAACAATAACAATCAAACAGACCCAAAATCCCAAAAATGATGCCGCGCGACGCACACGGCAAACCATCCAACCCTGACTTAGGTCGTCTACTACAGAAAAGGGTTTTGACAGTATGTTTCTTAGGGACCATCAGGGAAGACTATTCGTACTGATTCAGACCCCGATAGTATACCCCCCGGAACATGGCTGTCGCCCCTGATAACTGAGCGTGGGCCATGAACCTTTTTCCGGGGTCTATTGAGTTGTGCGCCCGAAGCCCGAAACCCGAAAACCCGAAACCCCGAAAACCCTAAACCCCTAAACCCCAAACCCTAAACCCTAAAAACCCTAAAGCCCCAAAAAACCCAAAAAACCCTAAAAACCCGAGGAGGCGGCTCGATGTTCATCTTGAGCTTCACGGTGGGCGTGCGCCGGATGACCAGGTCGCGCCGGGCCTCAGTCTCTTTGCAGAGGCACCGATGGGTTGCGCCTTTGTTGAAGGGGTTTTGGGGGATGGTTTTGGGGCTTTAGGGTTTAGGGGTTTAGGGGTTTAGGGGTTTAGGGGGTTAGGGGTTTGGGGGTTTAGGGGTTTAGGGGTTTAGGGGTTTAATTTAGGGGTTTAGGGGTTTAGGGGTTTAGGGGTTTAGGGGTTTAGGGGTTTAGGGGTTTAGGGGTTTAGGGTTTGGAGGCTGTTTAGTGGGGGCGGTGGGGGTCTTGTGTTGGCTTGATGCTGGCTTCTACATGTATATATGTATAGGGTCAGCGCGGTTTGAATGAATGAGGGTTCTATCCCTGCGTACAATCCCATATTTCTGGCCCTACCGCCAAGTTCTCACCTAGCATGTGAGTCTAAACGCACCTGAAACTTAAACTCTAAACCCTAAACCCTAAACCCTAAACCCTAGGAGCTTCCCCTAAACCTTGCAAACCCTATACTTGGTATTTGCGACCTCCTCTTTTGTCAAATACCGAGGGCTGCCGCATCTTTCCAACGACCCTTGGATACAATGCCGGACGCGAGGTCAACGCATGAGATGACATCTAAGGCCCTAATCTAATTAGAATAAGTTGTGGTGTTCCCCCTTATACTCACTGTCCTTAATAGGGACTGTACTAGGGGGTACGATCATGCCTATTAAGGACTGTTAGTATAAGGGGGAACATGCCAAAGAATAGGGTACTGTAGGTACAAGTAGTTCAAAGGGATGCATCACTCCGTGCCCAGGGGCCAGAGACCAATTACAGAATGGTACAATGCCCAGTCGTCGGGTTTAGGGTTTAGGGTTTAGGGTTTAGGGTTTAGGGTTTAGGGGTGCAGGAGCAGGGTTGGCGCGTTCAGGGAGGAGCGCTACTGCGGGGAGTCGAGGGTTTGTCTCAAGTCAGGGTTCCTAGTAGGCCTAAACCCTAAACCCTAAACCCTAAACCCTAAGGGACCTCAAAAGTCCTGAATAGGCCGAAGGGCTGCAAAGCCTTCGGGCGATCCTCGCAGGGTGACGTAGAGACCTTTGCACGCCCAAGTGCTCATTACTGGGGAGGTTTAGGGTTTAGGGTTTGGGGTTTAGGGATTACAGGATGTTGAGGGGTTTTCGGGCTTTGGGGGGGTTTGGGGCTTTCGGGGGGGGGGGGGGGGGGGGGGGGGGGGGGGGGGGGGGGGGGGGGGGGGGCTTTGTGGGTTGGGAGTTTGGGAGGGATGGGGGTTTGTGGGTGTGGGGGTTTGGGGGTTTGGGGGTTTGTGGGTTTGGGGTTTGAGGGCGGGGTTGGGTGCTGGAGGTTTCAAAGTGTACAGTGTCAAGAAGGCTAGCCGCAAGGTTCCCTGACGCGTTGCGTCGTGAGTTGAGGCTGCCCTGGAATATTTGCTCAAGACATCTAATCCTTTTTGCAGGAGTCCCCAACTTGCGAAAACCCTACTAATTAAGTCCCCCTAGACCCTAAACCCTAAACCCTAAACCCCTAAACACCCCTCGAAAAAAAGAGAGAGAACGAGCCACTGGGAGTCCTCGACTTGCTGGGTTCAGGGAGGGGGGAGGGGGGGGTTCAGGGGGGGTATCCCCACTACACCCCAAGGCTCCCTCAGCTTCTCTAAGGTTCTTATTAGGGTTTAGGGTTTAGGGTTTAGGGTTTAGGGTTTAGGGTTTAGGGACCCCCGTCGCTTACGAACCCTATAATCGAAGCTATGAGGGAGGATTTCTGAGCTCCGGGCGTAGTGCTTGCGCATCGACTACGTGGGCCCCGTGCCTGGCCAAAGGGGGTTTAGGGTTTAGGGTTTAAGGTTTAGGGTTTAGGGACTGCACTAACTGCAGCCCATAATCCATTAACTCACTTAATACACATAATACTGCAGTAACTGTCCCCACTAACTCCTTAGTAAGAGGGGTACCCTTTTTCTTCCTATCCAGTCTTAGCCAGGAACCTCCAAAATAAAAAAAGGCATAAGGGTACATAAGGGTACTACTGGGGGAACTAGATAAACAACTTCGACCGCGTCTGGTCTTTTGCGAAGACCCATGCTCTTGTTTTCAGCAGTACGTAGCTGTCTTGGGGGTTGTGCCTTCTGGTATGGGTCGCTGAGGGTGCAAGGGACTTTCATGTCAGTCCGGCTCAAGCGTGTGTAAGGGCTGGGTTTTAGGGTCGTAAGGGGTGACAAACATGTAAGGGTTTAGGTTTAGAGGCTTTTGGGGTTTAGGCTCTGGCTGGGGGGCGGGGGGGGGGGGGGGGGGGGGCTTCTAACGAAGAACAACTTCATTTCTTTGCGGAACTGTTTCCAGTGGTGGCCCAAGCTTTGAGCACTCAGAGTATATGCCACGACGAGCGAAGACCAGAACCCAAGCGATCGCCACCGATGCCACTTTGGGGGTTTGGGGTTTCGGGTTTAGGGTTTGGGGTTTAGGGCTTCGGGTATAGGGTTTACGGGGGATCACCAAAAATATTTCTCAGTCCTCAAAGAGGAAAGGCAGACGAAGCTACCCTTTACTTCCGGTGACCTAGTACTAGGTTTCTGGAGCCACTGAGAATTAAGGGCAGGATAGTTAGGCCCGTGAAACTATTGAAAAAAAACACATTTATCCAAGTCTCGTGCCTCTTCGAGCCTCCCTGAAAACTCATGCCGGGGTGGCTCGTCATCCAGGGTGGGCTTGCGTCCCTTGGTTCACGCAGACACGTCAAGAGGGTGTCACTGACTACAAGGTGTCCACAGAGCTGATGGAGCTGGCGACCCACCCACGCCTGAAACCCAAATCCGAGGCCCTGAGGCCTTAGCCCTGAACCGAAACCCCTAAACCCCTAAACCCCAAACCCCAAACCCTAATTAAACCCTAAACTACCCCCAAAACCTCCATCCTCTTGCAATTCCTGGGAACCTGCAAGACCACTCTGCAGCCTACAGCTGGGATTACAAGTACCAAGGTCGCAAAAGTCCAAGATCTACCAACCCCTAAAAGCTAAACCCTAAACCCTAAACCCTACCAATCACTGGCTGTATCTGCAATCGGGGCACTTGTTCCGAGTCGCTAGAAACCCGACCTGGGACCCTCTTAACCTACAGCTTTATGGGTTAAACCTACTAATTAAGGGTAGTTAGTACAAAACTGCAGGTAAATGGAGTCCCAGGTAAACCACCCTAAACCCTAAACCCTAAACCCTCAACCCTCAACCCTAAACCCCCTGCTTTTTGACTACCCAACAAACGTCCAAGCAAGATGCGGCAGTTGGCCGCCTGAGCTCTCCACCAGCTTCAAGGCCATGTCGGGTTTGCTGGCCCCTCCTGTTTGAGAGGAGGTGTACAGGGCATTTAGGGTGTAGGGTTCCCTAAACCCTAAACCCTAAACCCTCAACCCTAAACCCTAAACCCTAAACCCTAAGCCGTAGGGTTTAGGGTATTTAGTGTTTAGGGTTGAGGGCTTCGGTTGCTTAGGGTGCAAGGCCTGGGAGTGATTCTAGGGCTACCTGGGGGGTCGTGCCCTAAACCCGAAGCCTTACATACATCCTGATCTACGATTTGCTTAAGAACCCCCCCAAAAAAAGCAACAACAATAAACATAAAAGTCCCTATATTACCCTTGTAAGGAAGAACTTTATTTATTTCTATTTTATTTTATATGTTTTTTTTTTTTTTTTTGGGGGGGGGGGTTCTTGAGCAATTGGTAGTGATTACCTTACTTTTGAGGCTCGGTGTCTGGGCCTGTAAGACTCCATGAAGAACCCTGGCACTTGATGGTGGGGTTTGGAAGAACATCTGCGCTTCAGACCTGAAAGTGCTGTGTAGGGTTAAGGGATAGGTGTAGGGTGTGTGTGGGGTGTGGGGTGTAGGGTGTAGGGTGTAGGCTGTAGGGTTTAGGGTTGTTTAGGGTTTAGGGTTTAGGGTTTAGGGTTTAGGGTTTAGGGTTTAGGGTTTAGGGTTTAGGGTGTGCAGGTTTGAGTACCCGTGTCCTACGAACACGTTGACGCCGCGAGAGTCTGGGTAGAAGATCTCCAGAAGCACAGACTGGGTTGCGCAGCTGGATGCAGCTAGTAGGTTTAGGGTTTAGGGTTTAGGGCTTAGGGCTTAGGGCTTAGGGTTCAAGTGCAACCGAAACCCTAAACCTAAACTCTAAGCCCCTTTAGCGGCCCTTTTCTCTTGGATTGTATACCAAGGGTTCCCACCGCCCCCCCCATCTGACCTTTTTCCCAGGTGCCCTCCCCCACTCGGGCGCCCACCCTAAACCCCCCAAGCCGCGTCAACCCCAAACATCATCATCGACTGCACTGCGCCCGAAGTCAGAAAGGTCATACATCGGGAGATTCCCCGGAACATCCCAAGTCATACGCAAAAAATAACCCCAAACCCGAACAAATGCCGCCGAAAGCCGAAACACTACATAAACCCTAAACCCTAAACCCTAAACCCTGAACCCTGAGGCGAGTGCAGCCTCGGGCCGCGGGTTCCAGTATCGGAGCCTTCAGCGAAGCTCTGGGAATGTAGGGTTTTTGCGGTTTATAAGGGATAAGGGTTTAGGGTTTAGGGTTTAGGGTTTGTAGCATTGACAGGGCTTGTAGGGGTTTATGTAGGGTCGGTAGGGTGAACTATTTCATAGTGTTTGCAGGGCTTAAGTCTTTTAAAGTTTAGACCCTAAACCCTAAACCCTAAACCCTAACCCTAAACCCTAAATCCGATGTGTGGCTAGCTCAGATGCTCAGACTCCCACTTGAAGTTCTCCGGCAGCGACATCACTTCCATGTAGTACGTCGAGTCCTTGGGAGCCCCCAAACCCTAAACCCTAAACCCTAAACCCTAAACCCCTAAACCCCTAAACCCCTAAACCCCTAAGCCCCTAAACCCCTCAACCCCTAAACTCCTAAGCCCCAAAACCCTAAACCCCACAACCCTTCAAACCGACCCGAAACTCCGAACCCCAAGTCCTAGCCATACGGGTGCAAGGCACAAGGCTCTGAGTCTACACGTCACGAGCTGAAGGGGTTCGTCTTTTGTCTGTTTTGATATATATATATATATACTTATTTATTTATTTTTTCAATTTTTTCTTTTGGTGGGTCGAAAAAAAGCCGGACTGGCGGGTTTATGGGCATTTATAACGCTTCTCTTCCGGTATTTCTTGAAAACCTTTTCTTAGTTGTCCAGGAACCTGGGGGGAACTAAAGGATAACCTTTGGGATTATAAGGGGATTATATTACCCCAAAAAGGTTAAAGGTTACCTATACTCTACGACGAGGAATAGTAGGATCCCCTGTAAAATAAGGACCCCAAATAGTAGGATCCCCTCATTCTAGGGGCCCCGAGCTGCACTTAGGAGGGTAACTTTTAGCTACCTTACTAAGAAACCCAAGAAACCCAAAAAAATGCTAAGGATCTAAAGTTACAGTAAAGCACCCAAAAAGCCTCATCTCTGCTCACCGACTCAGCTCCTTCTAGCTCCTGGGGCCTGCCCTACGTTTGAACCCCACCCAAAAAACCCCAAACCCAGGGCTTGGTGGCCCTAAACCCTACGCCCTAAACCCTAAACCCTAAACCCTAAACTCTAAACCCTAAACCCTAAACCCTAAACCCTAAACCCCAAACCCCAAACCCTAAACCCTAAACCCTAAACCCTAAACCCATTCCTTGGGGTGGGTAGTTCGGGGGACTGCGAACCCCGAAGAGCTGTATTCCCGGGCGTCATCCCCAGGGTGCCCCAGTGCTCTGACCGCGTTGAACAGCGTGGCTCGGGTTGAGGGCTTCGGGTTTAGGGTTTAGGGCTTAGGGTCTGTGGCTTGTGGAGTTGAGTATAGGTTAGGAGGATGATTATTGTGCCTGCAATCATTCGACATATTGTCCGCATTAACATTTGTAGATGTACTTGTACCACAACCAGCTAATCTAGGAGTCAATATTCTGAAAATGATATAGTCTGAAAATGACAAGCTGTGTTTATACAACCTATCTAAGTGAACGAAATTACGACACCAACAAATGTGGAAAGAAACAGGTTTTGAATGAGCCTTATAAATAGATAGGGTTTCGAAAGGACATTGAAACAGAGAGTTTTCCATTTGGCGAAAATGACAATATTGAAAAAACAATCTCTGAAACAAACAGGAGCCACCTTGTATGTTAGATTTCGATTTCTGGATAAAAAACTCGAGTAAACCCATTGATTAAGACAGGGTTTAGGGGTTAGGGTTTATATAAGTATTTCGAAAAACCCTTTTACTAAGATGGTCCAGCAGAATCTCAGGATGTTGAATTCTGGGACTGAACCCTTAAGGTAGCCACCGGCTTGATCAGGATGTGGTAGAAGGAGAAATCCCAACCTCGCGCATGCTCAAGAGCGGTATGAGGTTTGGGTTTAGGGTTCAGGGCTTGGGCAGGTATGATTATATGTGTTGGGTTGGAGCTTTTTTGGGGGCGCAGGTCTGGGGGTGATGGCGTTTGCGGGGGTGGGTTTAGGGCTGGCTTATGGGGCCTGGCGGGCGGCAATTAGGTTTCGAAACCCTTGCGGCCGAAGGGCCTGGGCCTTACACAGCTCCCAAAGTGGCCGCCCATAATCGCGCCAAAACAAAGGAGCATTGAAACTCCCCAATCACCGGCTCCTGCAAGCCCTTGACGCCAGGGATTGCGCCAGGTGCAAGTTGCAAGGGTTCGAGGACCGCCTTCTCTGAGGCACTAGTTCGCTAGGTTCCTTGTTTCTTGCCTTTAGGGAGAGAGAGAGAGAGAGAAAAACAAAAGAAAAAAAAAACAGAAACAAAACCAAGAATAAGCACCCTAAATCCAAACGACCACTCCGAGCCACTGTGCTCGTGCAGCGTGGTCGGGAACACAAGGGCCCCGGCCACATGGGCAGGAGGCATAGAACGGCCCCACACCTCAGCAGGCATCTTTTCCTGTAGCTCTACCCTTGGTAGAAGTGAACCGCTTGATCAGCCTACTTCGGCTCTTCAAAAATCCTCTGAAAATATTGTGGACATGATGCTCTTGCACCCAATGAGTCAGGCCTCCGGCGTGCTTTTTATAAGCTTAACTTACATGGTCACTTCTCAAAATTGTGGTCCGTTTTAGGGTTACTCTTATAAGGCAGCCCCGACATTTAGGGTGCACCAAAAGGGAACCATAATTTTGATTGGAGGGATTATACTTCATGAGGGTTTGGGGTGTCTGACTGTAGGCTTGCGGCAGGTGTTCAAGGTTCCTGTATCCCTTCTGGAGTCTGGAGATGTCGGAGGTATGAGATTGCCCGAAGCGCGCCCGCGAAAGCCACGATGCGCAGTGTGCACCGGAAACTCGCTGCTATGTCGAGGCGAAGAACTCTAAGGCCAGCAACAGCTCACAGTGCCGTCTAGGGTTCGAGGGTTCGAGCCTTACATCCTACTAACCTGAACCACTAAGTACAACCGGAATCCATGGTGCAGGGAGAACCCTAAACCCTAAACCCTAAACCCTAAACCCTAAACCCTAAACCCTAAACCCTAAACCCTAAACCCTAAACCCTAAAGGGATTTGTGTGTGGGGCTGCGGCTGCTCAGCACACCCTTGTTGAAGCCGTTGTCTTCTTCCTCATCGGGCGTCAGCACCTGGGGGAGCACGGGATCTGGTTTAGGGTTTAGGGTTTAGGGTTTAGCCCTAGAAGGCTTGCCAATACCTGCTTAGGGTTGGGGTTTTAGGGTTTCAGGGTTTAGGGGTTTAGACTTTTAGGGTTTAGGGTTTGGAGCCTTTGGGGTCTACAGGGCGCTTGAACACCCTAAAATACCCGAAGCCAACACCTAAACCCAAAGTCTTGGGAATCAGTTACGGATACCCTAAACCCGAAACCCTAAACCCTGAACCCTGAACCCTGAACCCTAAACCCTAAACCCTAAACCCTAAACCCTAAACCCTAAACCCTAAACCCTAAACCCTAAACCCTAAACCCTAAACCCTAAACCCTGAACCCTGCGTGCACTCACTTCTGGGAGCGCGGCCAGTGGTCCAAACTTGATATCCTTTGCGCCCCCTGGGTCCGCAGACAGGATGGTCATGTCTTGCGAGCTTAGGGTTTGGGTTTAGGGTTTAGGGTTTAGGGTTTAGGGTTTAGGGTTTAGGGTTTAAGGTTTAAGGTTTAGGGTTTAGGGCTTAGGGTTTGGGGTTTACAGGGTTTAGAGTTTCTCTGGTTTAGGGTGTAGAGGGTTTAGGGTTATCTTGCGGGTTTGGAGAGTTTCTAGGCTTTTGGGGTCTGTCGAGCTTCGATAGATGGCCTCGGTTCTCAGGAACATGATGAATGTCGAAACTACCTGACAAGACGTGGCCTCTAAGGCACCCTATGATGTACCCTAAACCCTAAACCCTAAACACTATCAGCCCTATCAACCCTATCAACCCTCTCAACCCTATCAACCCTCTCAACGCTAACTATCAACCCATAGTCCCAGCTGACTCGACGCGCCGGAAAACCCGAAGTTCAACCGCGCAACAAAGCAAAGCCCACCGGCAACAGACCTCACTTCTCAGCGTCTAAACCCTCAACCCTCCACCCTAAACCCTATAACCCCAAACCCTGTAGCCCATAACCCTCCTCCCCCCCCCCCCCCATCCCCACGACAAGCCCTGCGCTGTCGAGGTTGGTCATCTCCAGCAAGTCAACCAACATGTTGGGACAGGCCTGGGGGAGGGGTCGAACTCTTCTTGGGCCCGGAAAGGTTTAGGGTCTAGGGGTTGGGGTGCAGGGTTCAGATGCGAAGATCAAAATCCTAGAGTGGATCCTACAGGGTTTAGTGCCTCAGCTTCCTGTTGCCCTAAGCCCTAAGCCCTAAACACTAAACCCTATATAAATCCTTTCAGGGTTTAACGGCCGCCTGCGCCGCAATGGTGGTGTCCAAGAGGGAGGCGTTGCACTGCGAAGCCCACCTGGGTCCCAGGGACTGTCTCAACTCCATGCTAGGATTCAGGGCTTAGGGTTTAGGGTTTAGGGTTTGGGCTTCATCAGGGATATAAGGGTTTGACTTCAGGGTTCGTGAGGGTTATCATGGGTTATCCAGGTTTTTTTGGGGTTTAGTCTAGGATCCAGGGCTGACTTTCCCAGGAAACCTAGACTGCTTTCTAACTTGTGCTCCCTTTTGACCAGGTTGCCCAGTGACCTCGTAGTTAAAAGGGCGCCCTTTTTTGTTTCAAGGGGTTTATAAGGGGAACCGGAACCGCCAAAAAAGAGAATGAGGGTACCACTGGGCATCCTGGTTGAGGTACCGTAAGGATAAAGGGGCCGTAACTACTGGCTGACTCAGAATAACCGGAGTTTAGGGATTCAGGATTTTGCGGGTATTGCAGTCCACGGTAAGAAGGTGCCGAGCACCTTCCTGGGCATGCAGCTGGGCACACTTTAGGGCTTAGGGCTTAGGGTTTAGGGTTTCGGGTTTAGGGTGCCCACGGGTCATTGAGGCCCACACACGATCTCCGTGCGTGGAGTCAGCGGGAGGATGGTTGCGTTGGTGGCATTCGGGATGCCTTGCATCAAAGGGTGGCCAGGGTTCTGGGATTCTTAAGGGAGGGGGGGTTCAACCCTAAACCCTAAGCCCTAAACCTAAACCCTAAAGCATAACAGGGCCAACACGGCCACAGCAGACAGGCAAGAACAAAAAGCCATGCAGCTTCTGGCACCCTCGTTCACATATGGGGGTGTCCGAAATTGGGGGGGTACCTTACTGGGATCCTTACTATATGGGAATCCTACTAAACCCCCGCGCGGCTTCCCAAGCTTCGCCTGCCCTCCATTATACTCCTTCGGAAGAAGAAGGGAAACTTGGCTTAAGGGAGCCAACAGGGCCTTACGCCTTAGCCAACCCCCTAAATACCCTAAACCCTAAGCCCTTAACCCTAAGACGTAAACCCTAAACCCTAAACCCTAAACCCCGACGACACGGCCTGTGAGTGTGCCGTCCATGTCTTGGAGCAAAAGCTGGTCCAGGCCTTAGAGTTTTGAGGCGCTTCGGGGGGTTGAGGGTGTCATTCTTGGAGGTTCATAAACCCTACACCCTAAACCCTAAACCCTAAACCCTATACTTATCAACCAATTATAATATAACTGTACGTATGACTGTACTTATAACCATATTAAGTCACTTGAGGGGCTTATAAGTGGCTTGCAAGTACTGTTATAATTGGATAATCAGTACCATGATCCTCCAAGTAGATGTCTGCCCGCAGGGTAGTTACATGGTCCCTTTATATGGGCCCTTAAACGAGGAGCCTTAAAAGAGGAGCCTTTTAGGGCTTAGGATTTAGGGTTTAGGTACAGGTATCTCGCTTGGGGAGACCGAAGTACACCCAGCAAGCCTCTAAGCCCCAAGCCCAAACCCAGAAACCCTCAGAAGAAGAAGAAGAATGAACCCCTAACCCCAAGTCCCCGACAAGGCCCTTAGCCCGCTAAACCCTATTCCCTACACCGAGTCCAGGATTTAGGGTTTGGGGCTTGGGTTTTGGAGTTCAGGGTTTAGGGTTTAGGGTTTAGGGTTTAGGAGTTGACGCCTTAACGTACCGTACTTGGGTCCCTGCCTAGGACTGATCGCCCCACAGCCCTAAACCCCAACCCCCTGCAACCCTAAACCCTAAACCCTAAACCCTAAACCCTAAACCCTCAACCCTAAAGCCTAAACCCGACGCAGCCGTAAGGCGCTGAGGCCCTTGCCCATGCAGCCACCACCCGTGCTCTTGCAAGGGCTGACTCGGCCGCCGTAGCCCTGGGGATTTAGGGTTTGTAGAGTTTGGGGCTTAGGGCTTAGGGCCTAGGGTTTAAGGGCTTATAAGGTCTATATTTGATTTCTATTTTTTTTTGGGGGGAAAGGGGGGAGGGGGTGCATATTAAATATTATAAGGGTGCCGTACATAAATAGGGGTCCCAAACAGGCACTATCATGTAGAGGACTACCCATTTACGCTTAGCAGGCCTTGAGCATGAAGCCACGAAGAGAAACTCCCTCCCCGACTCCCCGGCCCCAAAACCGATTGAACCAGTTGCCTCCTTGTTTGTCTAGGTTTAGGGTTTAGGGTTTAGGGTTTAGGGTTTAGGGTTAATTAAGGGTTTAGGGTTTAGGGTTTAGAGCTTCGATCTGGTCGCAAGCCCGAAGCCCTAAACCCTCAACCCCAGGGGGTCTGCGCCCCACCGACAATTCGCTAAGCTCCCGGCGTCGTCCAGTCGTTCGGTGCTGAGCTCGAAGCGCGCGTCGAGGTCCGACTGGTTTCAGGGTTGGGGTTTAGGGTTTAGGGTTTAGGGTTTAGGGTATAGGGTTCAGGGTGTAGGGTTTAGGGTTTGGGGTTTTAGGGTTTAGGGTTTAGGGTTTAGGGGTTGGCTAAGGGTGTTGAGGGTTGAGGGTTTAGGGTTGCGAAGGGGTTTGCGGACGAGGGTGTTTTCTGGGCTCTTGCTCAGGAACGCAAACTCAGTTTCCACAATAGGGTTACGTGGAGAATGCTAGCGTGCCACCCTTTGTTATAGCAACTGAATATCCTAAACCCTAAACCCTAAACCCTAAACCCTAAACCCTAAAACCTTGAACCCTAAGACCTACGCGCCCCCCCAGGCCCCAGGCAGTAACCCTGAAACCAGCAGGGGACCCTAAAGTCAACTCGGAGAGGGGCTTGGGGTTTGGGGTTTGGGGTTTAGGGTTTGGGGTTTGGGGTTTCGGGTTTTGGGGTTTAGGGTTTAGGGTTTGGGGTTTGGGGGGTTTGGGGTTTGGGGTTTGGGGTTTGGGGTTTTGGGGTTTAGGAAACTCGAGGCTCAAATGCCCACAGCAGATCCCAGCAGCCCATGTTCCCAGCACCAGAGCTGTTTTTTCTTGCTTGTACTTGTCACCTCCATGACCCCGCCCCTAAACTTGCAGAGCTATGGCTCTAGGGCTTCTTGCTTAGGGTTCGGGATTCAAAGTTTTCGGATTCAAGCTTCCCTAAACCCTAAACCCTAAACCCTAAACCCTAAACCCTAAACCCTAAACCCTAAACCCTAAACCCTAAACCCTAAACCCTAAACCCCGGTTCCTAGGCGCTCCAAAGTCTCCAGCATGTCGGCCACTACCCCACCAACTGGCCTCGTACCAGGTCGTGTTGGTGAAGGACATTGGAAAGCTGACCTCTTGAGTAGGGTTTAGGGTTTAGGGTTTAGGGTTTAGGGTTTAGGGTTTAGGGTTTAGGGTTTAGGGTTTAGGGTTTAGGGTTTAGGGTTTAGGTTTTAGGGTTTAGGGTTTAGGGTTTCAGGTTTAGGGTTTAGGATGTGCTGCTTCAAGCTGCACAACCTCAAATCCTAAACCCCTAGCCCTAAATCAAATCACCCTTGGCCCTTGACTTGATTCTAGGGGTCACATGAGACCGTGTGTATAAGGCTCAACCTCTAAACCCTTCTACCCAACCCGAATCGGCTTAGGTTTAGAGTTTGGGGTTTAGGGTCCAGGGTCTAGGGCTTAGGACTTAGGTTTCAGGTTTCGGCTTTAGGGCTTACAAGCCCTGTAAGCCCTAAGCCCCTAAACCCTAAACCCTAAACCCTAAACCCTAAACCAGCCCATGTCTGCTTCCGTGGTGCCTCGGCGGCAAACATGTTCGGCGCGATCGCGCGGTCCCTGAGGTGCAGACTTCTTAAGACTTCATGGGGTCTCGATGGGCACCTGGGACCCTGAACCTCAAACCCTAAACCCGGAACCCTACACCCTAAACCCTAAACCCCGAACCCTAGACCCTGAACCCTAAACGCTGAACCCTAAACCCTAAACCCTACTGGTAGGTTCTTGGGCTTAAGGATCGCGCGGCTCTTGTTCAAGGCAAGGAGAGGCAAGGTGTCGCATTTTGGGTTTAGGGCTTGGGGGCTAGGGCTTAAACCCTAAACCCTCAACTCGAAACTGCACAAGTTGCCCTCAGGGCCCTGAGGGGCAATCAACCCTCCACGAATCTTCGAGCTTGGAACTGGCCCCGACCTGCAGACGATCCCTTTGAGTGCACGATAGGTTTACTATTCCTGCGTGCACACGTGACCAACAGCAAGTAGGGTAAGGGAATAAGGTGAGCGCGGCTAGTTCCTTAAAATTCCGGTGCCACACACAATCCGTACCGAGAGCCAAAGCATTTTGATACTACGGCACCCTGGAATGAGGACCTATAATGAGGACCATCAGGGATGTTGCGGGGAATGTTCTTGAACAGTGTCCCATGTGCGAAACATCGGTCGTATAGTGAATTCTTACAGTTCAAGAACTACATGCGGCAAAACAAAATCCAGGGCCAAAGGGACATGCAATAAATAAACCCTAACCCGAACCCTGAACCCACGTAACCCGTAACCCTAAACCCTAAACCCTAAACCCTGAACCCTAAACCCTAAACCCTAAACCCTAAACCCTAAACCCTAACCCTAAACCCTAAACCCTAAACCCTAACCCTAAATCCCAATAAGGCAAGGACGTGTAGCCGCAGTCGTCCGACTTCCAATAGGCGAAGCGCGTGTCCTCGAAGAAAACCCAGCCTCGCAATCCATCCATGCGTGAGAGGACAAGGAGGGGCCCCTTTGTTTAGGGTTTAGGGTTTAGGGTTTAGGGTTTAGGGTTTAGGGTTTAGGGTTTAGGGATTCGGTCCCTACAAGGAGGGGCCCCTTGCAATACTAACTATAGTTAAGGGACGTGTAACTTAAATTTAGGGTCCTTACAACTCTAGGTATAACTATGGGGCCCCCTCTTTGTAGAGGTGTTTATTTCAAGAACCCCAAACCTACTTCTTTGTAGGTTCTTATGATGAAAGCACTTTTCAAGGTTCGTCGGTACCCAAACAAAGAAATAGGCTCAAAGGTAAGTTGCTGAGGGTTGTTTGGGTTTTACAGGAGGTTTGGGGAGTTGCGGTTGAGGGCCAAGGAATGATGCGGCAGCACGTGCAACGCAGAAGGTCTCTGAAAGACGTGTTCCCAGGCATTCTTCCTCAACTACCTCAACCTGGACACCATGAACCCTAGAAACCCTCGACCCCAAAACCTTCTCCCCCTACAAACCTCAACTCCTGCCAACAATGTCCCGGCCTACTAACGGTACCGAAATCCTGACTGCTGAGCTCCGGGCCAAGGCCCTTCTGCATGTGAATGTCCTACAGCACGGCTGGGGCTGTGACTTGTGCTTTTTGGGGGTTGCTCCCAAAAGTCTGAACCCTGAATCTTTAAGGTCTTCTGCAGGCCCAGGGTTGTCGTCTGGAGAGATGATGCATACTTCGCATCTTCGGATATCGTGCTGGCAATCGGCCGAAACAACGACATGCAGGGTTTCGGATGGCCCTAAACCCTAAACCCTAAACCCTAAACCCTAAACCCTCGAATGGCGGTCCTTCTCCCATGCTTGGTGGCAGCCGTTCAGCTTCGGCTGCCTGGCAAGTGAGGGTTTCCTGACATTCGGGGCACCTTATTGGGGTCCTTCTTCTAATACTTAGAATAGGGTTTAGGGTTTAGGGTTTAGGGTTTAGGGTTTAGGGTTTAGGGTTTAGGGTTTAGGGTTTAGGGCTTAGTAGGGCTTAGGGTTTGGGGTTTAGGGTTGCATGACAAGCCAGGCATGACCCCCCATGAAAGGGCCTACATCACACCTAGAGCTCCATATGGGGGTTTACATATGGGGGTTTACGATATTTGGGGCACCTTATTAGGGGTCCTTCTTCTAAGGGAAGCCTACCATCTTGGGGTCTAAATTGGGGGTCCCATATTTTCGTAAAACCCAAAGTAGGCTTCGAGTCCTGCAGTGCTTCCTTGCGGCCCGGCTTCTCCGCTTTTTGCGGGAATTCAGGGAGAACCTCTGTGGGGGGATATGTAGGGTTTAGGGTTTTAGGGTTTAGGGTTTAGGGTTTAGGGTTTAGGGTTAGGGTTTAGGGTGCAGGAGGATTCCTTAACAAGAGCCATCTCTGACCCTTCCGACAACCCACAGGGCCGCGGCCGAATATTGAGGCCCACTTTTCGTGTACCCACTAGGCCCTGAACCCTATGCCTGAACCCTAAACCCTAAACCCTAAACACTAAACACTAAACCCTAAACCCTAAACTCTAACCCTAAACCCTAAACCCTAAACCCTAAACCCTAAACCCTAAACCCTAAACCCTAAACCCTAAACCCTAAACCCTAAACCCTAAACCCTAAACCCTAAACCCTACCCTACGAATTGGCAATTCGGTACTACAATCGGAACAGGCATGCCGGCGCAATACGCCATACACAACACGCAACATGCATCATGCGATGAAACCACTGCAACGCGTGCGATTGTGATCGGATACGATCCGAAACCGTTACGCGTTGCACTGTGTTGCGTTACAGCACACGGCATTGCAGGACATGACATGGCGATACATTACCTTGCATTGTGTCATGATGTTGCATGTGGCTCCTTTATGTTGCATCAAATACAACAGATGCTTGCTAAACACACAATGTACATGCACACATACGTGCCGATTTACACACACACAGAGAAACCATGTACATATATATATATATATGTACATACATACATATACATATACATATACATATACATATACATATACATATACATATACATATACATATACATATACATATACATATACATATACATATACATATACATATACATATACATATACATATACATATACATATACATATACATACATCCATGCATGCATGCACATACATACATACATATACACACATGCATACATATATACATATATATATATATATGTATGTATATCAAATACTCTGTATATATATATATATACTTGTTTTGTGTGTTTTGGTGTATTTTGTTTTTGCAAACCCGAAAATATTCCTGCACTTGGGTACTTCAGCGTCCCCTGAGCACAAGGATGCCAGCGGCACGCCGTGGACATGAGCCGACAGGCGGCGTAGTCCATGGTCTCCCAGCAGCTCCTATAGGGAAAAAGGGTTTAGGGGTTGAGGGTTTAGGGTTGGGGTTTAGGGCGTAGAGTTAAACTCAGAACCCGAAACTCCAAACCCTGAATGCTGGAATGGTTTTGGGGTTCACAAAGGGCGGTATCGGGCTACTATAGGATGTGGAGTTCTGGGCTGTGGGGCTGAGCTTGAGAGAGTTTATGGTTTCAAGCTTGGGCACCCAAAAGCCTCAAGCCCTGAGACCTAAACTCTAAGGGGTGCATGTACCTGATGGACTATTATCATATACCTGGGCCGCCAGGTCCCTACATAGCAAGTATTTGAAGGCCCAAGTATTCCCTACTTAGGTACATGGACCCTTAGGGAAACCTCAAGCTCTGGCTGCCTAGCGTAATTCGCAACTCCGGAAGGGAAAAGAGAGGAGTACTTGGAGGTTCATGGTACTTATGAACCAATGAGAACTGCACTTGTAACCATGGGCTTAGGGTTTAGAGTTTAGGGTTTAGGGTTTAGGGTACTTATAATTGTACTTATAACCATATTAGGGCACTTAAGGGGCTCATAAGCGGGTGATAAGTACAGTCATAAGTGGTTAGTAAGTACCATGAACCTGCAAGTAGGGGTTGGGCCACATCTTGCCAAGTCTGCGGGGCAGTACCAGGGGCAGGTGCCAAGCAATGAACAGCATGTCGAGATACACTATGCACATACATATACATACATACATACATACATGTACATATACATATATATATATGGATATGTGTATATGGTAGCAAC